CGAATGAAAGTTTATTTTTTTCTGCTTTCATCAAGGTACACTGTTGCGCAAAAACTTTCAACTATAAGCTGCGACGGTGACCGTAGATCCGGAACTTAACCAACAAGAACATACAGTGTCGTCAGAGGCAAACATGGATTCTTTGCTACCTACCAAATACCAGAAAGCCTACACTGTCGCACTGTTTTATGTACGGAGTTGATAATGACAAAGAAGCAAATATGAAACTTTCAGAATACATGGATTTCCTTAAAATACGAAAGACTGGAAGTACTGTTTGTTTAGAATAGGGTAACGGGACAGCGCTTCTTTGGGCCTACCAGTCAGGATGTAGGATACATCAAGCAAAATGATTATTCGATTAATATCTCTCACGCAGGAGTCGAAGAGAGTCCACCAGTCCACCCACTGAACCATGGACACTTGTGTTCATTAAGCTCCACAACTCAAAATATTTGATTACACATTCGTATTTACAACTTTAAGAAGCTATTTCTCTCTACATCTCCACAGACATACAATATACAACCATCTCTAAGACAACCGACACGGACCTCAACAATCTGTCACAACTGAGATTACGCGGATGTCATTACTAAATATGGTTCATGCTTATTAAAAATGCCAATTTCCACATAATCAATACCATACAACTCAAACATCTATCTTACCAATATCTCATTTACTAATCGAGAGATCAAACCAGAATGCCAACAACTGACTACGTAGAGAATTATTAGAAAAAAATAATCTTGCTCACAAACCAACAGACTATCAACACCAGCACCCCAGATGAGACCAGAGCAACAACTACACCAAGTTACGGTACTGGCAGAAGATACCACAGGCAACGGCGACCATGTGAACAAACACAAGGACAGACTTTCACACCCACTAAGATCTAGATATCGTCGCTGTTGCACAAAAGTTCACACACTCCGTTAGTCTGACCTGTTCTTACAAACACCTGTCAAAGTGACCACTTCCCACTTTGTGTTTTTTAAATTTCTATCATAGTTCTAGAGGACCACCTGTTTAAGGTGACCACTTTTCTCCTCAATAATGGACCTTTGTCTCGGTCAAGTTTAACTCATTCGGGACGCAACGGACGTTTACGCCCGATAGCCTTGAGCTCCGTCCGAGACGAATCGAACGTATACGTCTAATAGCATTTCACGGCCATTGTAACAGCACAAATGAAGGTATTCAAGGGACAGAACTTTTGTTTGGCACTGACACACTAAGCCATTTTTATTTTGTATTTATTTCCCTTTGACCGTATAGTGTCGTTTTTTTGTAATTTTCTATGGCGATTTGTAAAGGCAGTTGAAGTGACAAAGAACACAGATCTTTCGAGCAAAATTGCGCCACGAAAGCATTTGTTTCAAGCAGAGAAGGTCCTCGATCAGACAATGTTTGATGGATCAAACGATGAGGAAAATGTTGTGATGGAGTTCGAAGACAGATCTTGATTCTGACGATGATTTTGATACATCAGGTGACGTAGGTCTAAATCAGAGACTCACAAATGTTGATCTGGAAGATGTGGAGTTTAGCGGTAGTGAGGATGAGGACAATCGGAATCAAAGTGAAGCTGCGGGTTCTGACTCACAGAGTGTAGATCAAGATCCAACTCAAGCTGATAGAGATGTAAATAATTTAGATGTAGGACTAGATTTAGATGGAGGTGACAATGGTGAGGAGGACATGGTAGTCGATGACACGTTCATGTATGATGAGTGGGGACAAAATCTCACCGACTTCCCTCCTGTACCCCAATTTACTGGTCAAACACAGATGAATTTTGACACTCAGGACCCAGATTCCACAACACCATTTGGACTGTTTAGTTTGTTCGACACCAAATATGACAAAGCTTTTCAAAGCTGAAACGAACAGGTATGCCAGGCAGATTATTGGGGAGAAAGAAAGAAGAAACGTGACTCTGGTGGTCTCCAAGGTCGATTTTCAAAACGTGGACCGCGGTGAAGGAAAGTGAGATTTATTCCTTCTTTGCCATCTTGATGCACTTGAGTCTTGAGAAGAAGAACACAATCAAGCAAGGACTATTGGAGCAAAGACAGGTGCATAGGTACAGGTTTTGCTAGAAAGTGCATGGAAGAACACGGTTTTTGTCGGTGTTGAGTTTTTTTTCATCTGAACGACAACGCAAAACTCATCCCCCATGGCCAGAGAACCAAGATCAGCTGCACAAAATCAGGCCATTATTTATATGATCATCTAAAAAGGGTAAGATTTTTTTGTTTATTTGCAATTATATATTTCGATGATATATATATTAGAATCAGTTTATGACATTTATTCTTGAAAGTACACATGTAGGCTGTATAAATAAGGAATATGAAGGTTGGGGAAGAAGGTTGCTCTAGAACAGTAATCCAGTTACTCAATGAATATCTTTTGAAGAGAACTTCATTCATTTTCAACTGTCAATTGTATATGTATGAAAGCATTATAATTATAACGATAATTTTCAAGAGTTTGTCATGTTTAGGGTAGCTAAAACCATACACAAAAATTGCTGTCACTGTTTTTATCATGGAAAATGCGCCAATGATCTTAAGCGATGCAATACTCAGTGCTTCCACCGCTGAAGTTGAAAAGTAAAGAAAATTCTGGGAGGGGGGGGAGGGGGGTGAGCGCTGCAAAGGCCCCCAGCAGGGTCCAGGGACAGCGTCCCAATGGGGGTACAGGGGACGAAGCCCTCGAAGAAATTGAAATTTAGTGCTTTTAGAGGGTTAAAAATAACATTTGGGAGCCTGTTTGAAGAGATTGCCTACAGCCCATAATATTTATTTTTTCACCAATACATCTTTCCATTGCTGGCAATGTTTAAAAGCAGGTTCCCCTTTCATTGCAACTATAATTCAATTAATTTGTCGTTGCACCATTGATAGCAGGCAAACCTGGGAATAATGAATAGATATATATATATGTAGGCTACCTTCACAATACAGTTGCCCAGCGTACACCCTAATTTTCCCCCAATTTTCACGTCTGAATGTCGCCTGTCACAACCTCAAAATACCACTTCGACGAATTATTCTTGATTTTACCTACGGCTGGCTCGATCACCTGAAACTGAAAACAAACGTTTGTTTTTGAGGCGACCGAGTCGGGCAATCAGCCCGATCCCATCCGTAGTGAGCATCCCGTATCAGCACATATTTCTTTCATTGTGGCCCTTATCGTGTTCACGTGCCGTAGAATCTTTGCATTAATAAGTTCTCTAGATCTAGACAAATCTGCAAAAAAGATTTTTTCTAACAGTAATTTTCTGTCTAAGATCACAACTCAATTTACTTGATCAACGCGCAGATTTTCCAGCCGCGGCAACAATCCAAAGATAGACAGAAGGAATGAGTGAATGATAGAAACGAGGAATTTGGCACAAAAAGTTTGCCAGATTTTGACCAATCTGCAGGTAAAAAATGTACTGCCTACCAACCCGCAATGAATGCACGGGGCATAGAGCTAGCAGAATAATGGCCGACTGAAGGAAATGAACAATCTGGCAGGTTTTTATTACAGTAATTTATTGCCGAGAGAATTACCGTAAATATCCGTAACCTATACAAGAAGACGATACGAAGGAGAGTACGGAATTTCGGTAGTCCTGCGCTGTCGCAGTTTTTTTAATTTTATGGAGGGAGTTGATAATGATGGAGGAACAAGTATGGAAATGGCAGAAAGTACGGATTTCCGTAAAAATACTGGAGAGTGGAAGCACTGAATACTTGATTTATTTCATTTCAGGGATGACTTATCCTGTCAGTAAACCAATCTTGGTTTTTCTGCCCCATTCCAGCTATTTATACTTCTCAGACCTTTGAAGCAGTGTACAACCCACAGCAGAACATCTGCATCCATGAGGCGCTCTGTCCGTGGCGAGGACGCTCTTCCATGCGTGTATACATGAAGGACAAACCCACCAAATGGGGAATAAAATAAAACTCTACCACCTCTGTGAGAGTAAAGCGGCTACGCCGTACAGTTCGAAATTATGGCAAGTGAACCTGGGGTCAACAACAAACCGCGCGACATTTGCGATCGTCTGCTCACACCCTTCCTCAACCAGGGCTACTGCGTTTTCATCGACAATTACTACTGTTCTCTCCCCCTGTGCGACTCACTCGCAGCAGAGAACACCATGGTTGTCGGAACTGTGCAACCAAACCGGGGGGGGGGGGGACCTTCCAAAGGAACCGATGCAGAAGCAGACGGTTCGTGGTGAGGTGGACTTTCGGCGAAAAATCAGGTCCTGCGCCTGAAGTGGAAGGACAAACGGGACGTCCGTATGCTGACGACAAAGCATGGCCCCACCACCAGTACAGACGAGACGGTCAAACCAAATGCTGTCATCAACTACACAACAATGGCAGGTGCTGATCTAAGTGATCAGCTTCTGTCATACAACCCATTCCATCGCAAAACAGTCAAATGGTGGAAGAAGGAACTTGCTTTCCACCTTCTGACCCTGAGCAGTGTTCAGGCCCACTTCCTCCATAACAAACAGAGTGAGGAACAGACAGAAAAGGTGGACTCTGGACAAATTCATGCGCCAAGTGTGCATCGCTCTTGCTGTGAAAGGGCAGGTGGAGGGGCTTCAAATCGATGAGGACCCGGGGGCCTTTGACAGACAACGCCAGACTTACCGCTCGACACTTTCCCTCACCGTTCGATGAGCATTCCCAAGACCCAAAGTTCAAGAAAAGGGGAACATGTATTGTGTGTTATGCTAACGCTAAAAGGATTGAAACAGACCTATTTCAAATGCAAGGAGTGCAACAAGTCACTTTGTGTTTTTCCGTGCTTTAAGGAGTACCCTACGAAAAAGGACTACTCACAGTGACTGGAACTATTTCTGCACAGTATTTGGACTGTAAATTGTGTTGTGATGTGTTTTTAGCTGCATTATAGTTGTGTTGTAACTTTATCTTGCTTGTTTCTGCATTTCTTCACTGTCAACTTGGAGGAAATTTTTTTATTTTTTTTTGGGTCTCATACACCATTTTTGTAGGGGTCCTGGCAAGTTTAGGAACATATCCAGGCAAATTGGGTTAGATTTAAGGCAAATTCCAAAAGTTGAATGTTTAGATAGTGAAAACAGACTTTGAAAATACCAAAAGGGAAAAAAATGGCAGACTTTCAAAATTGGCCCAAAAGTGCGCGTCTCTGTGTGCAAAGCTGGTCCAAAACCCGCATCCCGAATGAGTTAACTTTACTTGGCAATACCAGACCAACGTGCCCAACACATATTCTCTATCATTGTTCACTACAATTTTTTTTAAAACCAAGTTAACTAGCTGCTGTAGACTGTACATTTGAATATGATTCTCCCTCCTCCCCCATCGACACCAGGCTGTGGTCTTCAACACTGCCTGTCAAAGACAACCCAGAAAGATACAACTCAAGATCAGAAAGACAGACAATATCAGCAAACAGGAAGAGAACTCAGGTGATATGCATGCCATGGTGAGGCGCCTAAACTCTACAAAGAAAAGAGGAGATATCTCCATGAAAAAAAAATAAATAAAAGATCTGATCGAAGGGAAGAAATACTAATCCTCATCCTGATTTTCTACAGAATAACAAAATACGGTAACAAAGTAAATTGAGATTCACACACACACAAAAAAAGAAAAAAATAAGTGAAGCACATGTACAATCCTGGCACCATCACAGTGTTCTTTCAGTCAGCGACTTCCGTACCGCACCCTTTCATCAAGTCCAGTATTAGGCTAGGCATAATATGTGATCATCAATGTAACTTGAACACAGCAGCAAGAAAGATCATTGGCTTTGCATCCCATAAAAATGTCTTTGACGACTCTTAACGAGTCTTTTTTGTAGGGCTACTTAAAACTGTCTCCTCCACGTCTGCTCGAACTTGAACTGTCCCCCACTGGAGTTTGCAGACACACGTCAGTGAAGTACGGGTCTTGCAGAGCAGACTTGGCTGAAATTCTTTTACTGGGCTCATAAACCAGCATTCTCTGAGAAAAGAAGCAAGTCAAGAACAGAAATAAACATTTGATTTGCACTTTCCATTGCATAAAGCAGACATATCAATAAGAAAATAGTGAATTAGCACTGGGGCAGAGAAAGAAAGGAAGATTAAAGTAAAAAAAACGTATCAGTGGCATTTGTCGACCACCTACATTCGTATTACAAAGTTTAAAATACAATTAAGTTAAGAAAGGAAAAACTATGCAAAACAGCGCCAGTCAGTTTTTGGGCATGAGAAATTATTGATATAATCTGTTCATTTGCCTCGCTTTTAATCAAGGAAATACTCATCTATCTTGAATAGATGTCAAGATATTTGCAACAGAAGGAGGTGGGGTGCCCTGGTGCTAGAGGTAAGATTAGCGAGAAAGTGTGGGTGTGCCTAAAAAAAGGTACCAAAAGTCGCCACAGAACATTTGGAGCTACAGGCTGATAATGACCAAAAAAATCACTTGTTTAACCAAAATGTGTTTCCATATAAAAAATAAACAGTTCCACCATTTTTTAACAATGTGCTAAAAGAGTTTTCGTTGATTTGACTTGTAAATACTGGGTCCCCACCAAATCTTGGAAAAAATTTTCAAGACCCCAATTCGAGGGAAAAATCAGGCCGCTGCGCCTCAAGAATGATCCCCAAAAAAGCCCATCTATCAATGATAAAAAGTCAAAATGTCCTTAAATGAATTCTTCAAACAATAGATGATTATAGTACTGGGTGACTGCCAACCCAGCTTCTCAATTTTCTAAGGGAGGGGCCTCATATATATAATATATTATGTTGTGAATACACACACACACACACATGTAGGTAGGCTACATTATATCAAGTCAACAACATGTCAGTGTGGTACTGGGATCTTGTGTGACATTGGTATTTCAGTCTGTTCTTACTTCTTTATATTTCCCCCTAATCACATTAGCCTACAGTAACTATATATTCTAGAACATCGACTGTCAATAACCAGTCTGGGTGTCATGATTCATCTAATAAACGTGAAGACGAAAACTATTTCTCAAATTCAAAGTTGAGTAATATTAGTAATAACTTGAATGGCTCAAGTAGACTTATTCAGTGTGAGAGGTGTAAGAACTGAGGGAGGGCAAGATGCAGTGACACTGAAAATCTGCCAATCTTGAACAGAAAGCTAAAATACAGATACATGTATAAATTACAATCACTACATCCATTGAAACGAGAACACTTTAGTTCAATAACAAGGCATGACGGATCCCGATTCCACACAAGGCCTGCACCAACGCGCGCTTTGCAGAGAGCTCTTATTTAGTTATCAAAATTGTAAATACTAAAAATTTGCTTCCTAGTTCAGTTTTTTTCCTCTGACGTTGCCTTAAACACTCCCCCCCCCCCCCTCCCCCTACCCCGAGTGTATCTCTTTTTTTTTTTAAGCAATAACCCCCCGCCCCCAACCCATTCCGGAGTCATATACTTCACAGCGCTCAGACCGCCGATACTCACACTCACAGGTTCATTGACCGGTCACGATGGCGAACGTGACAAGACGCTTGTATAACGTTCTTTTCTTTTTTTACACAAGTGTCAACAGAGGACAAATTTTTAATATTGATTTATTTTCAAGGCGACACAGCGTTCGTAATGCACAACCTGCATGTTAATGTTGCGTTATAAAATCTATCAGACTATCACCGGAAAATTTCTAGGTGGTAACGAAAGCGAAAGTAGATCTTGATTCTTCCCGATCGAGCCTCGGTGTATACACTTCCGCCATAGCGGTTCAATTACGTTTCCTCTATCGACCATACTATCTAGATAGCTACACTACTGATATTATACAGGCCCTATCCTTTCCCGACTTACCGACCCATTACAAAATTCCCGACTTTTTCCCGACCTCCCGACCCATCTCAAAATTCCCGACTTTTTCCCGATTTCCCGACCTGGTGGGGACCCTGTAAATATTTTATTTTGAATTATTTTGGGGTAGGGCATGTTTTAAAAAGATATATACTCAGACCTGCCACTCTATGAAACCTCAAAATCAGGATCTCAAGGAGAAAAAAAATCGGGATCAACAGCAAATCACCAAGGTGACTACCAAAGCTGACTTAAAATTTTTCCAGGGGTGTCCATAAATTTATTTGGATTATATGCCATCTGTGTGTCTTTGTTTGTTTGCGTGTGTGTGTGTGTGTGTGTGTACGCGTGCGTGCGAGTTATAATTATTTTGTGTAAATCCTGAAGCATCGCGTCAAGCACTCCTAGTCCAAGTGTCTATACCCCCCCACCCCTGCCATTAAGTCCAGAAATACATGAACTTAAGTTGACCCTGTCAACGGACGGTCCCCGACACGCAGAACTCACACGGCGATGATAGGTCACGTGACGCGAATGCGCGATTGAAACAATTACTAACGGGTCCGACTAACTGCACATTCACACAAAACACTCGGATGAGCGACAGTCGTTCTACTTCTAGAATAACGACGGCGGCCGACCGACCAAATGTACCAACACATCTCTTATCCCTCATAATGCGTTCTGACTAAAGCAACGACAACGGCCGTATGTTAGTCTTGTCAGCGCAGTCACATGTAGTTATGTAAGGGTTAGAAAGACTGTCGCTGGTCCGAGTGTTTGATGTGAACGCGCAGTTACCAGACCTCGGACAAGGCTTGTTTTGAAAGTAACAGCGGAACTACGAACATTATCGATTATTTGTATGTCCCAAAGTGTAACAGTTACCAGGCTATCATCAGAGAATTCTGAGCGTGGGAAAAGATCACACAAAACTTGGGGCTAGTCAACTACTAAATGCGGCATCGATATTTCGGGAAATGGTGCTCCGAGTTCCTACTGACAAAAAGTTCGACGGGTGCTTTCCGCGATAAAGGAGAAGGCAGAGCAAGTTTTTAGAAAAACCCAGCACAACAGCAGAATGGGACAAAAAATCGGGATACACGTGATCGAAATCGGGAAAATCGGGAGGATTGAGATTTGGGGCAAAAAATCGGGATATCCCGACTAAATCGGGGTGAGTGGCAGGTCTGTATACTGGTTTTTAAAAGTGTGAAAATGTATTCTTCAAGCATGTTTTCTCTTCCCTGTTCTGATTCACCATTGAATTATAATCATGATATTGATGTCAACTGAAAGCCGAATTGGAAATGGATTTTCCATGAATAAATACATTAGAAACAATTGAATCAACGTTTTTTTTTCAAGCTTATGTTTGGTTCTAAACTTAAAAGCTATTTTTTTCAAAAGTAGATCTTTATACTCTACCTCGCAAAATGTGCAGCATCTCAAAAACTACTTGAGCTATCTCAAAAACTTAAATTCTTATTTCCATGGAAATTGCAAATTCACATTTTTCGTGCCTTTGATTTAAGTTCAGACAAATCCTTACTGAAATGTGTTTTTAAATAGACATATTAAAAAGTTTGAACCCCCCCACCCAAAAAAATAAAAAAAGAGAGAAAAATAATGATAAGTTTCTTCGATTTCATTATTTTGACGAGTGCCTGGATGTCACCATGATGCCACACATATTGTCTTGTTCTGGAATTACAGCCTCCTAGCGCTAAACATTACGCATGCATGGAATAAAAGTTGCTTAATTCTACCATGAATTTTTCCCTCCTTGAAAAACCCACTCACAGCAAACAGGACATAAAATAAAGTTATCATCGACAAAATTTAGACCAGTAAAATGATTTTCCAATACAGACCTCTAACAGGTTGGCTCCATCTTCACACAACCTGGGTACCAGTCCCTTGGCCTCTTTGATAGGCCACTTGGGGAAGGAAGACTTGTAGTCAGGCAGACTCGTCACACCGGGCCACGTGGTCTCATCAGGGGTACCTGGTCCACAAACAAACACGCACATTAAAAGGAAATTGTAAACAAGTTGTTTAAATTTCTTTTTGTTTTGAGTAAAGAGAAACACATCGACACAATAATGGTCATTTAGTGCAGGGAACAAGTAACAAACACATAGAAGTAACAGAGGGAAGGTAAAGAAGTAAGACCAACAAGAGATGCCCTCCAACAACCCACAAAAGTTTTAAAAAGACCCAAAAATTCTGCTTAACCCACTCCCAAATATTCTCGCCACTTTGGTGATCTATTTCAATTCACGCTTCCCAATTATTTTCGCCACCGTGGCGATCCAACTTCAAATATTTTTTTTCCGCCTAAGAGGTCGCCATGGTGGCGAGAACGGTGCGAGGAAAGTATTCTCCAGTCATGTCCCTTTAATTTGATACAAGTTTCATTTCGCTCGGCCCGAGGGTCGAAATTATATGAATTTATCGGCTGACCTACCCCCGACTGTCCAAAATGGCGAGCTGCAGTGGTTTCAGGCGGAAGCGAAGTGTAGCCAACATTTGTGCTTAACTTTCTTGCTATCTTTTTGTCCTGTTTTGGGGCATCTATCCTCGTCGGAAATATGTTTTCTGATAGAACTACCTTCTCCGGTAGACATATTTTACCATAATAAAATGTGTCAAATTGAAAATTTTGTAAAAAAAAAAAAAAAGGACACAAGACAAACATATTCTGTTTGTTTTGAAACACATTTCATTATGAATACTTTCAACACAGGAAACAAGTGTGTACCTTGAATACATTTGTCACACTGATTTTTCAAAAACACCCTCGAAGCTGCGGTGGTTGGGGCCAATCCGCCCAAAAATATGCAGTTGTGAGTGAGTTAACTAATCAAGATCCGTGACTTTGAAGGGGCAGTGGTGGACACATTAACACTTTTTCAACACCCAGAGAAACTCAATATTACAACTTCAGAGTGCCCAACAGGCAACAAAATTACATAAAGTGGGACTGGTTTTTGTGTGGTGTATGCAGACCTGCCACTCTATGAAATCTAAAAATCAGGATTTTAGAGTGAAAAAAATCGGGACCAACGGCAAATCAGTCATAAGGGGTACCGGGGAGGGGGGGGGGGGTCCTGGTTCCCTTTTATGAGGCAAAGTGTGCAAGAGAAAACTTTTGCAGGAATAAGTTCACGTTTGGGCCTCTAAATAGAGGGAAAACTGAAAGACAGCATTACTCGAGTCGGAGTTGGATAGACTGGGGGAGCACAGGATGCAGTAAAGCTGAAACTCTCGTAGTCTTGAAAATAACTGACACATAACTCGAATCATCCATTCAAAAAGCCCGTTTTTTCATATAGTAACAACGTTTGACTTCTATCGCATATACACTCAAGGCACCCCCCCCCCCCACAAAAAAGAAGAAGATCGCGCCAAGGTTGTTCATTTTTGAAAATTCCTTTACCCTCAATTAGTTCTACATGTATCACGGCACGCACTTCAAACCCAAGTGTCAAAACAACACCCCTCCACCCTCCCCCCGGCCGTCCACACTGGTTAAGTCCCGAAAAACACCTCGACCAATGCGACCGGTGTGAATGAACTTTGTTGACCCCGACAGCCGACAGTCCCCGACACACGCACTACTCACACGTACGAGGTCATGTCACTTGATGCGAATGAGCGTTTGAAAGCTCCACTGACAGGTCTTGATGATGGGCCCACTAACCAGAACTCAGACGAAACTTGCTTTTAAAGCAACGGCAGAACTACGGTCGATTTTAGTTGAAACAACGTGCGTGAGTCAACTACTCGGCATAGTTGCTTTAAAAAGTTGCGTTCCAAGTTCCTGCCGATAAAAAATCCAACCAGTGCTTCAAACCAAAAGATATTGCAGAACTTTTTATTATTTTTTTCTCTCTAACAATCGGTCGCAACTGACGCAACGACAAAAAATCAGGATACTGGCGATCGAAATCGGGAAATTTAGTGGCAGGTCTGTGTATGTAATAAGGTTACAATCACAATTAAATCAAGTTCATGTCCTCGCAAATACCTAACTGCTGAATCCGGAACGGTGCTCGGAAATTTAAGACAGTTGACAAGCATGCATTATTAAGTATTGCTGTGGTGTCCACTTTACAGAAACCGAGAGAAAACAACCTGTACCTAACAGCAACCTAACCTAGTATAACGGAAATTCTCCTGTAGAGGCGCCCAAAAGAAACTTGAAAATGTATTCATGCGATCATGTTAAAGTCTTGTACTACCTACTCATGCAGCATACCAATTTAAAACTAAATGATTCTGCACTATCAAACATATTCATATATCATCAACCATAAGAGTCGCCTGAGATATGGTCACTCAAAATAAACCTTAATCAAACTTGGTAAAATTGTGCTAAATCAAAGAAATTGAAAGTGTTCTCACGTGCATTTAGGAGCATCAAAATTGGTGGAATAGACATGTATTGACTGTCAAATATGAGGAAAATATTATTGTCTCTGCAATGAACTTCTTACCCAAAGTTCGGAATATGCGGAAGAGTTGATCAATTTCAGAATCTCCTGGAAACAAGGCCTGTCGACGAACCTGTAGGAAGAACATTCCACATCCATTAAATAGACCTGCATGTGAGCCTCAACCAGATTGTCTGAAAATTTTGCGCAACCCCAATACTGAGTAAACTACAACCTATTCAAATGCAGTGCAACGCCCAATTCTGAGTGACAGTATACAATTACAGCTCAACAAACACTACGCTTTAAGAATTTTCAATTCAAAATGTCTGACCGACCATGTTTTACAGAAGATGAGCCTCAACTACAGGTCACAGGACAAATTATGGGCAAATCTGACAAGCTCCCTTTGTTTTGCCACAAAGAAAACTCACCACTTTTGAGGACTGCAAAATGAAAAAAAAAAAGAAGCTGACCAGAGGGCATCACATTTTTCCTTTAAGTTTACTATTCTTTTGCTGCAAAACCTTTCCAAGACACCATCCATTGTGGACATCAAAAACGATCATCTTAGTAGACAGGTGGTCTTCTTGGACATTCTCATTATCAGTGTTTCCAACAACCCAAGCAAAGTAGTATGGAAAATTCTGTGGGGGCCCCCAGCAGAGTCCAGGAACCCGGTGGGGGATCCAGACGCAAAGCCCACAAAAATTTTGAAATTTAATGCGTTTAGAGGGTTGAAATTGAAAACAGCATTTGCGATCCTGTTTGAAGAGATCGCCTACATCCCCTAACATCTATTTTTTTCCCTAGATTGTGTCTTGTTAATATCTCAACCTACAAATCTTTCCATTGCTGGCAATGTTTAATGGTAGGCTCTCCTCGCTATTGCTACTATCATTCAATTAATTTGTCATCCCGCCATTGACTGAAGGCCAACAGGGGAATAATGAATAGACATGCACCTTGAAAATAAAGTATAGTTACCCAGCAGATTATATCCAAATTTGACCCCATTTCCACACTTGAATGTCAAATGTCACAAACAAAGAACACCACTACTAATTATTCTTGATTTCACTTACGTAACCCCGGAGGAAGGGATGGCGGCCGCCAGAGAGAGCGGCTCTTTGAACCTTGCAGTGGTTGAGCTCCGGCCTGCGCGCCCCACCTAGTTTTAGCATTAATTTTACTCACTTCGGCTTTATATCACGCTCCCGTAGAACCATCGCACTGACAATTTCTTTAGATCTAGTCAAATTTGCAACAAAACAAGTTTTTTGCGACAGTGACTTTCTGTTTAAAATAACAAGTCAGTTAACTTGATCAAGGCGCAGATTTTCAGGCCACAGCAGCAATCCGAAGACGGGCAGATAGAACGGGTGAATGCAAGAAAGGAGGAAATTGGCACAAAAAGTTTGCTATCATAGCTAGTCAGATTTGGATCAATTCGCAGGTAAAAAAAAATATACTACCGACCAACCCGCAATGAATATATTGCGGGATAATGGCTGATTGCAGGACATGCGCAATCTGGCAGGTTTCCATTACACATTAACTTACTCCCGAGAGAATGTAAATATCGAAGTTACAGAGGCGAGTACCTATTCTTTGCCACAGAATTTCAGTACCTTATGCTATTGCACTTCTATGCATGGAGTTAATAATGATGGGGGAGCAGGTACAGAAATGCCAGAAGGTACGTATTTCCATAAAAATACGGAAGACTGGAAGCACTGACAATAATACAAAAACGCTCGGGTGGAAGTGGGTATTAGTACAGGGGCTTGTCTTATACAGGTGTTCGTCACAGCAGGTTCGACAGCATTTGTCTACCCTTTTTTTTTCAGCACTTAAATGGACAGCTGATCATGATGACATGCTTTTCTAAAACTCGATACCAATTCAAAAATTTAATTAAAAATCTAAGCTGCTCCTAGCATCACACAACCAAACATGAGGCAGTACTTGGCCAGAATTCCCCACTGCCGTGAAAGGAGACTCACCATTTCAACAAAGATACAACCAAGACTCCAGACATCTACTGGTGTTGAGTAGAACCGACTGCCAAGCAAAATCTCTGGAGCTCTGTACCACAGTGTCACAACCTGAAAACAATAAATAAAATAAATCAAACATCATATTATTCTAAGGAAAGTTGTTGACCAAATGGCATCTTGTTTTGAGTTAAACAGCTGCACATCAACACAATAATGGTCATATAGTGAAATAAAAAAAGTAATACTTATAAAAACAGGGGGAAAGTAAATAAGTAGAATTTTTCGCCTTATCCCTTTTATAATAATAATAATAAATAACATTTATACTGCGCATTTCTATTTTCTAAAAAATGCACAATGCGCATTACAACGAAAAAGACATCACATCTTAAAAATTAATCTACACGCGTGTACGTAAAACAAAGTATTATACATATAATATAAATGTACGTGTAAAAATTTATATGAGAAAAATAGTCTAGTAGACAGGTATTTTATTTGGTAACTAAGAGTTTGCAATTTAAAGAATTATGCTTTTTAAATTTTAAGAATAGCTTCATAAATAAAAAAGTTATGGGGTTGCAAAAGTCAGAAAAATATGGATGACCCACATATAGGAAAATACTCCTAAAAGTGGACCACGCAGTAATAGATTCGGGAAGAAAATTGACGAAATCTCAGTAATTAATGGGATTGTTAGAGAGAAACTTAGCTACCCAATGTGTCTTTGGGTGGAGAAATCATTTCTGCAGTCAGATTTACTAACCATTTTGTACTTATTTTGTTATCATTAAAATTTTGGCGCACATATTTCGATTTTGCGAAAAAGGAGTGTCAGGATGAGAGCATTTTATTTATAGCATCATATCACAACATGGGATATTTAAGAATATGTTTGTGGCTCTGAGAAAACCCTTCACATGGTCTAAAAATTCAAAATTACTTTTTTTCCATATTTTAAAAGACCCATCTTTCCCGAGCATTTTGCACGTTATTTGAGTGCAATCGGAACATTCTACGAAAAGTTATATGGCATTTTAAAGTGAACAGGGGTTCAAAGGTCAAATTTTGAGAAACAGATTTTAAAGTTTTGCTTACTTTGGGAACACATTTTCCATGATGACAATGTATAAAAGCAAAAAATGCTGATACCACAGCATAGAGGTGCCATTTATGGACAGTTTGCTTTTTATTTTTGTGAAATACCTCTCTTCTATGTGAAGTAATGACTGTTTTTATCTTACAATAACAGTAAATCATTGAATTACGTAAAAACGGATCAAATTGTAACCATTTGAAGACAATCTACACAAAACAGAACAAACAAAAAAACAAAATTAAGATGATTTTTAGAACACAAAGCACATCATTTATTAGTAATTCTTGTCCACAATATTTTTCCAACAGAAATCCGTTGACATTTTTACATTTCCATGCATGCACAGGAAAGATATTACATAGACCTGCTTTCATCAAAAAAACCCAAAACAGTATGGAATAGCACGCTTGCATAAAAACAACCAGTAACCACTTTGAGGCACAGACTAAAGAATTTAGACATCCCTTTTTACCATTGTACCAGTCACTAAAGTCGGTAAAATTTACTTGTGCCATGGAAAAATCTTTCCATACCCTACACAATCCATTGATTCGATGAAAGTCCGTCAATTTCAGTTTTAACCGTGAAACCCCAAAGGGAGATATTAAATAAAATAATGCATTTTTTAAAAAATAGGTCAGTCCAGTACATTTGATCACGATCACTTGGGTTGCAAAATTTTAATGATAGGAAGTGGAAATTACCTCAATATTATTTAAGTCAATTCAGCAAATTGGTAACTTTGCGAAACTAAAGCACCAAGATTTTCAATCTCTATTTGAGTACATTGAAAAGAATGATGCATGCTGACATATAAGTAAAACCTGACATAACTATTAGTAATATTAGATATACCAGAGCTCTAGGGTATGCACCAAATAAATTCAAAGTAAATTGCAGTTGGAAATTGACCTCCATGAGTAACATTTTACCGTTACGTCATTACGAGAAAAAAAACCCAGATTACCAGTACCACAGACTGTATATTCCAATGGGGAACACGTTGTCACAATACAAGAAAAACTTTCCAACAATCTCATTTACACATAATAATATTAAGTCTGCATCATGTCACTCACTCACAACAGACCAGCACATGTAGAAGAGTTTGACTTCCATGTGGGGTGAATTTTTATTTATCTCAGTCTTTCTGCTGAGTTGTTGTGTACCTCTCCGGCCCGATTGTCCCTCCCAGACAGACAGAGTTGAAACACACCTCCTACACGATCTTAATTGTGTGCACGTGGATATAAAAACACCTACACTAAAAAAAAAGGAAATGACCACCGACATTAACATGAAACTTCTGATCAAAGCTGCCAAAACACATCTACAGAACCAACACACAACAAAATTATGAAAGTTGTCAATTCACCACAGCAAGTTCAATGTCAGAATAATAGAAATAAAATAATGTTCAAATTAAAATAGAGTACTCAATGAATCTTTAAAACTTTAAAAAAAACCCACAAAAAAAACGCTACTTTTTCTTCCCCTTATCCGTAGTCGAGACACCCCTTTCCCCACTTCCTGGCTTTCGGCTCTGATGGACCCTCTTCTCATCACTATCATGTACACACATGCTCACTTGGGTAGGCTTTGAGCATTTTGGAAGAGGGGTCACTCTGTCTTTCATCTCTCCACTAATAAAACGTCTAATTTCATCAACAAATACCACTGCCTTGATCTGATGGATCAAGTCCAGCAGGAACAACAATTTCAGGTATTAAATTAAAATCAAGAGCCTTGGACAATAAAACAAAATCCATTGGATCAGAGTCAACACATTATTTACATTTTACAGATGTGCTGTCAACCTGGAACTGAAAATGGTGGTATTTTTTATTCCAATCATTTTTCTTAAAAAACTTTCCAAGAAATTTGGTCAAGTCATATACCGGCACCAAAACATCCCCTGCCTCAGTTCCACATAACTGCGACATTGCATGTGGCAGACTCACTGACAATATTAGCAATGTCTTCCAGGCAGTCAACTTTTGTCACTCTTAAACTTGCATTTGAAAAGACCAAAACACTAGTCACAACTAAACTTTGTATGTCCTGTCAAAAGAAATGACAGCTTAATACTCATGTGACTTCCTGTAAGGACTATCCACATACGATACTGCATCATGCAGTTATTTTCATTTTGTCCACTGCAGTTTTCAGCATGCAGCTCTTATGCCATAATTTTCAAAAAAATAATGAAGAGACACAACACAAATGGCCCCTTTACCAGCTGAAACACATTCCTCTAAAAGAATATTTACCTGACAAGGTATTGTCTTACAGGTAACTCCAAACAAGCCACACTTCCTTGGAGTTTTAAAAAATATCGGACCCGGCTGCAATGGGTAGCTCGGGTAGTGCACTTGCTGTGCAAAATCAAAGCTATAATGATACATTCCATCAAAAGAACAGCTCCTCCGATCTTCTTGACCAAGAGTGGTACCAGCTGGCAAACTATTTTTAGCGGCTTCGCAAACCTGCTGATAATAGGAGCGTTCTTTAGAAGCCTTTTCTAAATGATCTAGCATTTCCAAAACTGCTTGGCCTTCTTCAGCATATGGCAGATTGGCTGTACGCAAGAGGTGACCCGAATTCTTCTGACAAAACCAACAAAGATCAGTTGCAGGGTGCATGGTTGTGACAAACAGTGTCAACTGCTTCCATAAATGATTGAATGTGAGCCTACTTACAATGCATCTGTCACTGACAGTGGCAGAGGCTCAGTAAGCATCATACACCTTCTTCTTAGTTACATTTGTAGGAAGCAGTTTGACACTGGTGTTCCAGTGACCAGGCTGACGTCCTTACATTTGTAGGAAGCAGTTTGACACTGGTGTTCCAGCGCGCTCATATGACCTTAGCAGTTGCGAGCGCCGTAAAACCTTATACTATACATACATGGTGTTCCAGTGACCAGGCTGACGTCTTGGAAGCACAACAGCATGGAGCTCAGCAAAGTTGACAATGAAGTCTACCACAGCTTTTGTATCTTCAAAAGACAGAGCATGTTATGGGGCCCTCTTAGATAATTTGTGTTGCCTGGCCTCAATTCCAGCAGCCTTAAAATGTGCAATAAAGGCATTAAATTTATCTCGGCCCATGTTGAGAATATATTTTTAAAATTCTCCAAAAATCACAGGTTCATACAAATAATAAGTAGTCCTCGTCGCTTGTAGGTCTTTGATTTTTCTAGAATGTTTAACAGTGTCTCCCATATGCATGCCACAGCAAAGCTGAGCCAACATAACAATGTCATGCTCCTCTCCTGTCATACCAGCAAAAGACAAACACAGGTCGTCAACAGCAGCTGATTCGAACTGGCTGTGGCTAAGCTGGCCATCATTGAGCTTGCAGCAGCACTTCAGGTCCTTCAAAGCTGACTGCTCCACACCCTTACCATCTGGCACAACAAAGGCTGTCACGTTCTCCATGAAGGTCACCCCTCAGGCATCATCCTCTTCTGTAGATACAGAAATAAAAGAGTGATTTAATAGTGTGCAGCTGGTTTAATGTAATTTATAGTGTTGTACACCACTGTATTTAAATGACCACTACATTAGTTCAAACAAACCAGTGATTAATGATCACCAGTTGAGAATAATTTGCTCTGTGATCCCTTTACAGGTTGCAACAAGAAGCCAGAAGTTTTATCCATCATTCCGTCATCTCTTGTTTTCGTTTTGCATCGCTGTATTTTTTAATGGACTTCCTCAGTTAAAGAAATTCACCTTCATGTGATGACAAGTTTGTGACAGATCATCGCTGTGATAGTGCAGCACCTCTCTTGGTTCTTTTCAAGTCAAATAATTAAAAAGTATGTTTTCAGAATAGATATTTCTTCTTAGTAAATGAATTAAAAAATTTAAAGCAAGAGTAAGCGTCACATTGAATCACAATACTATAATATTTTATTTAATTGAGAGAGGCATCACCTTCAACAATAATAGACAAGTTTGTGTGGTGCAGAATCTCTCATGGTTCTTTTAAAGTCAAAAAATTAAAATAATTAAAGCTATAAAGTATGTAAGATCGATTATATAATATATATTTCTCCTTAGCAAATGAATCAAGAAATTTAAAGCAGGTGTTAGCATCAATAAAATTGCAGTAGCCCTGGTCTATTATTCAATTCCATTGAGAGAGGCATTACCTTCAGCAATACTGGACTGGTCAGCATCACCTTGTTGTAGAGCAGCAGTCGGGGACTCTGGATCTACTTCACTGGGAGCATGGGAGGGGGGCTGCGAAGGTCCTTGGCCAGCAACTGCACCTAAGGGAGCAATGAAGATAGGATGTACAATGAAATAAAACTGAAGAGATCAACAAGAAAATTATCTGTGTAGTGTGCACTGGATCATCTCCACACTAGTCTAGAAAAATATTGTTTACAGATACATAACTGACCCTGGATTTATTAAGTCTTAGATCTAAGCACAGTTAACAATGTATAGTGACTTAGTGTATATTATTTAAAACAACACACTTTAGTATCATCTAGATCTAGATCTCAACACACACTGCAGTGAGATTGTTTCATACAGATAGCATAGGTTAGCGATAAGGATCTAAACAACTGCTGCAGGCTCGTGTAACTTTCAAGAGTCTAAAGTTAAGTGTCATCAGTAATCCAGATCTAGAAGAGTCATAAGTCTAGATCTAATCAAGAGTCTAGCTAGTCTCAGGGCTCCCCTTTTCAGGCCAACTAAAGAGGTTCCTTCACCCTTTCGTTTACTATCTTAACGGGAGGAGCTACCCTTGAGGACCATTTTCTATGTTTGTTGCCCGAGACCAAATCTAAGTACACATATAAGTTAGACATAGTAAAATCTCTTGATACGCAATTTCATTTTGACATAGCTAAAGCGGTTGCTATGGAAACGGCCGCCATCTTGAAAATAAACAATGGATTTCAAATCCCTAAGGCTTTCTTATTTACAGACTAAATTTGACCAAATGTGGGGAGAGTATACCCGAACCAGACCCTATCAGTGTAACAGCAAGTTTTTTTCAATAAGTGCAAAAGAAAAATAAATATGAGAATTTTCCCAATATAAAAAAACTTTTTAAAAATTTAGGTTGCGTAATTGCTTGCCAAAGGAAAAGTATTTTTTTCTCTCGCAAATATCTGTTACATTGATGGCAGCCGTGCCAACAATGTTTCCTGAAAGTTTCATGTCAAAAGGATGAAAACTAAGGAAGGAGTAGGGAAAAAACTGCACAAAAATTACATTTTTTGAAAACCGACAATAATTGTGAAAATTCACTATATTAATCCATCCTCATGTTTTTAAAGGCAATTTACCTGGAGAATAAAGTCTTTTCTCAATTGTATCCATGCTATTTTTAGACAAAAACAGGTTTATCTTAAAAAATCAGCCAATATAAAATGTGCATAGCCAGACCCAAAATCAGCAAAATCAAGGGTCGCTCTTCCCCTTAAGGGGTATTAATTACGGTATTTGAACCCTTGTTTCAGAAACTTAAAGAGTAAAAGTCAATATCTCATAATTTTATAGTAAAATTTTTAGCTTGTAAACGTTTAATTTACACGCACATTCACACAGACACACAGAGTGACCATGACTATGATTGAATGCTAATGATTTTTAACTACCTTAAAGAAATAAATGAGTAATATTGACTAGAATTAGAGTTGTGTCCATTTGGAGGGGCGAAGGGTGGAGGTGGTTGAGCGGCTGGGCCTATCAAAAATAAAATAAAATAAAGTTGACAAAACAAAAGGGCTCAATCCTCAATGTAATACACCAAGAAAAATAGACCTGCCACTCTATGAAATCTAGAAGTCAGGATCTCAGGGGGGGGGGGGGGGGGAAATTGGGACTTGGCGAAAAAAATCGGGATCAACTCAGCGACAAATCACCTAGGTCACTGTTGTCAAATCATTCGACTCTGCTTCGGGACGGAGAAAGGGGGAAATGACGCTTGCCAGACGCACACCACCTATGTTTTAAAGCGTATGCAATCCCCGAAATGAAATTATAAAGAGTAAAGCTCACACACCACGAAAACTTAAAGGGGGTAATCTGCAGGTTTAATGCATAATATAGGCACATTTGTACGTAATGGGGAGCCCTGAGTCTAGTCTAGAGAGTACTACAATCTTGATCTAAGTCTATAATAATGTTGACAGACTTGGTCTCGTTCCATGAGTTAAGCTACAGATAGAGATAGATCTAGCTCTAAATACAATGCTAGGTATGATAGAATCTAGATGAATACAGTTCTTTAATCTAGCTGATAATTATAAGGACAAGTAAAGAAGCTGGGACTACGGCTATGGTAAACCTTGCTTACCTTCTGATGATGTTACGCGAACTGGTTGAACAGGAACCAGGACTTCTTCATGAAGTTCGAGATCATGAGCAGGGGGGTGTGGGTGTGTGTGGGTGTGTCACGGCCACCGTCGTCGTAATTGGCTCATCATGTGTCTCCTCCAAACTAAAATCTACTGTCTTCACAATCAAGAGGTCTTGCATTGAAATAATCAATAATCAGTTCATTCAATTCATTTTCGTCTGTGATTTGTCTCATTCCAATCCGATCGAGATCATTCAGCATCGATGAAATACGCCCCTCAGCTGATCGGTCCGCCATCTTGAATCAATTAAAATTATGTAAACCATAGCGCTCAACCACTTGGAAACATTAAAAAATCAGTTTACTTACTGTAAACTCAGAAAAGAACACTTCATAGAGCAAAACAAAGAACTTAAAGTTAATAAGGAACAATTCCCATTTGGTTTGAACGGCAGGAAATGGTACATAATAAGTTAAAAGGCACTCATGACAAAAACCATTTCAGAAGTGAAACTAAAACATGCGGAACTCTTGGAACTATTTGTGATGCTCACATATTCATGCACACCGGGTTCTCCCAAAACGGCAATAAAATTCTCTTTCTTTTGGTATATAATAAGTGAGGGTTCCCGTGGAAAAAAGTGTCTATCAGATTGAGTAATAAGTGCCAAAGAATACAGATGTTACATGGGAGTATCAGACAAAAAGGAGACCTACTTTCTCCACTTGCCAAAAACTAATACAATATCACCATCATAAAATGGAATTTGCCTAAGCCGCTGACAGCAGACCACTAGCGCAGTGATTCTGACCGCACGCTGCTGGTAGCGGTGTTCACTGTTTTTGAACCAACTAAAAAATAAATTTGTGAGACACTGTAACTGCAACAAAAGTTGCTGTTAAGAGGAAAAGGCTGTAGTTAAAGGGGTCGCCAAGGCAAGTTTGACTGTATTAGTAGCACATAAAATACATTCCAAACAGTATACTTTTTTTTACCTCATGCGTATACGTCCTGACGGGCACACCAAAAGCGCGGGCAAGGCCAAAGTCTGCCAGCTTAATGTTGCCCTCCATGTCTATCAGCAGGTTCTGTGGCTTCAAGTCTCGATGCAGGACTCGGTGTGAATGGCAGAAACTGATGCCGTTCAGGAGTTGATACATATAACTCTGAACAGACAAAATAAAAGGAAAAAGTGAATTATATGATCCCAAGAAAGGTATCAGTATAAACTGCTCATGCTCATTTTGTAGAACCTCCACTCTACTAGAACCAATCCATACACCCCATACAGTGCTATACTCTTTCCTGAATACTTTGTCCTTCCTTTCATCTTTTTTTTTCTCTTCTGTTACATCTGCCAATTTCCAAATTAAGTCCACGTGTAGAAGAAACTGCCATGCTCACTTTTTTCATGACCATGATAAACATTTAAATAGTCATTAATTTACTGTCTGAACATTACACGGCGCACCGGCAGTGGAATTTTAGTTGCCGCGGGGGGTTCCCCGCCGGGCACCTTATCACGTCGGGGTCAGCTCCCTGTCGCCGCTCTGTCTGGGCCGACCTAATTTTTGGTACTTTTCAACGTACAATTTAAGGTGTATCCTTGTATTTATGGTAATTCTCATTTAGTGCATCCAAAGCACGCATTTCTGCTCTTGAGACTCAAAAAAGAACGGACGTTGTAACTTGTCTGGTTATTTCGTTAGACGCGCTGGAGTCGGCAATGCTAAATTGTAATTTTTTTTGACTAGCGTGAATGAAAAAAAATCAATATTTAAAAAAAAGGCAACGTCAAAATCTGTCGAACTTTTGGAACATGAACAACATAAAATTGGTGCAGATACTCAGAAAGATGGTATCTGCGCTTATAATAGAAGGCTGTAATTTTACAATTTTATCCATCGGGCACACAATTCGCTATGAAGTAATTCCTCCAAATACAACTTTATGTGTCTAATATAATCGTGAATATTCGCATATTTTCTCGAAAGTTTATAAAAGTTACCATGAAGTTTCTCTATGAAAAGTACAAATCGATTTTAGTGCTAGAATACATCTTCAACGTAGATCTAATACACGAACAGTATCCGTTACACTCCAGAAATTCCTTACTTTCCTTAAAACGCTAAGTCTAGGTTTTGTAAGTTGACTGAATAATAAGGATGACTTCTCATAATTGGGTTATAAGATTAATTTCTAGCTTTCCAGGGACACTGAATCAGCACCAGACTTTTCCAGGTTTTTTTTCGTTTCTATGACCATTTGCAATAACTGACAATGTGACTGATTTCTTTACATTCATAATTGTGTCCGCGCATATTTCCTACACAAAAACTAAGAATGAATGTTTCAGCTGTCATTATTTTTATTCCATACAAGAAGTTTATCTCTACCCATATATTTACACGGTTTTGTGGGTTTTTTATTCGCTTATATCTTTTTAGTTGTATGCAGGCTGCCACAGACACAGCATGATTCATGAACAAACGCAGAGTAACTTTCTCTTGTTTAATAGTAAAATAAGAGCTAACGCTGATCGTTTTTAGTTTTAAAATGCAGATGTGCATCTTTCTTCTCTTATAACTTGACTATTACTACTAGCGCAGATTTAAGATTTCTCATGGTGAAAGACATGATATTCGTAGTCAGTTTAACACAGATTTTGGAGAGATCTGTCGTGCCTTTTTTAAATTAACAATCATTTATTCAAAAGTTTGTAACTAAAATAGGACAAATTGGGTACTCTACAAACACTTGTCTAGAGCAAAAACTAAGGCACAGAAACTAACCATTCTAACGCAGAATAAATCTCAAGACATTGAGCTTTTAGTACATCCGCGTAATGGTTTGCTATGTGGGATGGGGAAGAAGTTATATCGTTTTAAACAGTCGCTTCAGGGCTCATTAACCCCGGGACCCCAAGCCGGGGAGCTCCGGCGGGCTGCAAGTAACGCCGTGATTAAAACTTTACACCTTATCCATGATATTCAGACCACAATGAAAGCAGACTGATTTTAACTCATCTACTATGGCCAACCCAGGCTGTGGGGGATACTACATTCCAATATAGCAACATCTGATTAAAAAATCTTCCTCTCACAGGAATCAAACACTTGACTTCCGCACACAGGGCAATGAGGTTAACTACGAGTACGACACCAAACTTCAAGAGTGTTCAATCTGTACTTAACTTAGAAAAAAAAAAAAAGGGATACCAGGCCAAAAAAAAGAAAAGAAAAAAAAGGGCTTTAAATCTGTACCAGATAAAAAGAGGTGTAAAATCTATACAACCAACTCACCTTGATCAAGGCTGGATGCAGGTGCTCTGAGGTAGGTAGGGAGTCCATGTATTTTTTCAAGTCTTTGCTGAGGTACTCAAACGCCAGATAGAGTTTCAGTTCACAATGAATCACATCGAGCAGTCTAGGGAAAAGTAGGATTGGAGAAAATGTTCATTTGTTATAAACAGGAGCCTCCCCCCCCCCCCACCTCCCAACTTTTCTCATGTACAAGAAAAGGATATTGACATGATAATTCAGTAAAATGACACAGTCAACTTAGGGCTGAGGAAGAATGAAGACAGACAGGAACAACAAGAACAACAGTAAAGAAGTACATCTCTATCATGGTGAATATTTCCACGACATACCCCATACAGTTCTTGCTGGCCCTGACTGGCAAGTATTTAAAGCAAACCCATCCTGAAACTTGTCTTAAATTATGTTTCAAAACTTTTCCACAATCACAAACCAGACTGTTTTCTGTGACAATAGCCACATGAGTGAAATATTATATATTACAAATAATGTCAACTTTGCCAATATGTATGTACCAAAAAGCATTCTCAATACTTATCCAGCATTCAGCACCAGCCGGTGACTCTTACTGTCTCAAGACAAAGTCAGAATTAAAACTACATATTGTCACCCAAAGGCCTGTATTTTGACGCGCAGTTAAGAATAGTCAACTCTGCTCTAAAAACCACCAGTTCAAGACAATCATCAGTAAAGTTTTTAAAAAGTTGTTCTCGCTTGAGGGGGCGAAAAAAATCTGTGTCCGAACCGATGCTCCAATCCGGACTTTTCGCTTCTGAGACGAGCGCACTAACCGCTCTGCTACTCAATCACCAGTACAAAAAAAAACAACTGCCCACTTCCACCTTCGCATTTAATTTCTAAAATCACGATGACACTGTCTAAGACAATCACTGTTCTCCTCGACAAATGGTGGCTTTCTAGGACACTTTCAACTGTACATTACATACACACTGATCTTGCGTGTTAAGCAGTCCTCATGGTTTCATCAGCAGGAAGGCAACATCCATGTTCTTACAAAATAAAAACAAATTAAATATTAAACAGACCCAGAATTCTGTCAATAGCAACTCAAAAGCTGATGTGAATCGTGTAGACTTGAGCATGCAGAAGAGCTACTTACTTTAACATTGACACACAAACAAGGTTTGAACAAGTAAACCCACCTGACTACATTAGGATGGTCGAGTTCTTTTAGTAAAGAAATCTCCCTGATTGCTGTACTTGGCACACCTTCACTCTCTCTGAAAATGAAGAAAAATTTTAAAAATATAAAAATATGATTTGAATAATCAATAATGACTTACAATGGTATAAAAATTATAATCAAACACAATACTTTTTTAAACGGTTGCATTTGTATTTTGTTTTGTTTTAATTTTCCACAGGAGGAATAATTTTGTATATCGAATCGTTATTTTGGTGGACAGTTCTATGATTGTTTCGTTGAAAATCTCCAAATAAAATAGATCAATAGTTTACATCACAAGTTTTTAAAAAACCAACATGAAACAATGACAAAGGCACGAGCAAGAGGTTGATGGGAGAGAGGGGGAGGGCAATGGGCAGCCCTGCAAGTTCAAGAACGGAAGCAACTGGGAGAGGAATATGGATTGCAACAGAACTTTAGGCCTACTCTACGACTTATAAACGAACACACTATAAATCTAGATAACCAAATAGAATTTTCTTAATTAAAGATCCAGTCAATTAAAACTAGAGAAGGGACCATTGGCTTCGCAAACGGCCCTCAGTCTGTGCATCACGGGTGTGATGACATAATATCCTTGTCCACAGCCCCCACCCCTGTGACGTGCCAAACTCAAGGTGATCATAATAAAGCACCTTGAGCGTACATGGTGGACAGTACTTGAGTCTAGTAAAATACCATTTACAGGGCTCCCCACCCACGAGCATATGTTTGAGTTAATCAACATAGAAAATTAGTAAACTGGTTAAAAAATTCGCAATGTGGCCATGGAAAATCTTTTCCGACGGGGTGTCAAGGACATGGGATGTAGTCCTGTAAAGTCAAATGAATAGTGTATGTAACCGATAACGTAAACAAAGGTGTCACGTAAAGGGCAGGAATCTTCTAACACTTTGTCAAGCTACTGTCCGGTTCTTGTAGTTTTTTGGGGTTTTTTTTATCTTTCTCCCCACCAGGAAGATTGACCAGTGGGTTGGGGTAGCTGAAATTTTTCAAAAAATCGGAATCAGGATCCGATCGCATTTTCATAAAATTTGAATAAAAATCATATAACGATCCCACCAAATTTGTAATGGTGGGCAGCGCTACATTTACCCCAGACTCGTAAATCAGACAGACCGCTTGTGTATCATGCGGACCGCCTGCGCTCGCAGGCAACGAATCAGTAATGAGTGCTCACAACACTAGTCTAGTGATCAGTGATGCACCTTAGGCACACAGCGGACAACATTAGTGAATTGTTTAAGTTTTAACCCAGTACCCGCAAACCGGCCCGCTAGTTTTCAGTGCAAACACTTTAATTTCAAATACTTCTTGGGTGTGTCACATTACTTTTGTACAAAACTGATTTGGGTATAAAATTTCTAATTTGAGAGGGGGGGGGGGGGGGGGGGGAGCACTGGTATTCAGGCATCAATATCCCATTCTACATGATATTATTTTCAAATTTCACTCCCGTTCCATACCTAGGTATTGCAGGGTAACTTCTCTACATACATTTCAATTTTTCGTTTTTAGATTTTACTGAAATTTCAACTTATATCGGTCATAAATTATAAATTACTAGATCAGGATAAATGTCTTAAATGATTTTGTTGTTGAAACTATTACACCAAGCGTAATCGCATGGTAGGCCTATTACTTTGCATGTTTTAAAAATCTGGGGGATGATTTCAGGGATTACATGTGAGCAATTGTATATTTTAATAATTAACTCAGTAGTGGGGGTTGTCTTGGCGCAAAAGAGACATTGATTTTTACATCAAATATCAATTTGACAGCATATATTATTGAAAATGCAAAATAGGAAGTCACAAAGTTGTAAGTAAAGAGATAGAATGACCACGAAGGGCCAACTTTTAAACTAATTTTATAAAATTATAAAAAATATAAAACAATTAGTAATTAGACGACTCGATCACCAGGGAAGTGCAATGATATCAGGAATTTTTCAACAACCTTGTCAAACTACTGTCTACATTAACACTTTTTAGGCTTTGGTGCAACCAATTTTTCTCTAAGTAAGCCAAGGACACTGTAATTACTCTGAGCTGCTACGTGACTACATGATTGGCTCTTTGCACACAGGGTGTTGTGAGACAGCTGCACGTAACTTAATTACAATAATCATGAAGCTGTTGGGGTCTGATACCTTACCTCAGGAGGGTGAGGATGGGTTAGTCGCCGTTAGGGAAGCAGAATGGCAAATAAATGTCGGAATCAGAATAGTAATGATACAGTTTTAGTACTTAGTCTCCGCCTAAGATCCCGACGCTTGGGAGCAAGAAAAATTGTGGGAACTTAGCCAACGCACCAAGGGAAAAATCTACAGTTTTTTTTAAATTTTGGTATAAAAAAGTGTTTTATGGTGCTCGCAACTGCATTTACAAGCAAGGTCATAAGCGCGCGGGACACCTTAAACATTTTCAGTTGGTAGAAAATTTTGAATTTTGCCCGGGTGGCAGCCGAATCCTACTCTTATCGATTTTAGACCACCAAGGGAACTTTAACGTCCTCAACTTGCACACAGGACCTTCGAGATTCTTCGCCTTTGTCCAAGAAGGCTAGATCTAGCTAGGGGTAGATCTTTTCTACCAGAAGATCAGGGGTGTGGCTGAAAGACTACAGCAAAGGGGTCATGGGGTTAAAGTAGAAAGGCTGCAGAAAAGAGTCCGCACCCAGAGGAGGGGGCAAAGGAGGTGAGGGGGGTGGGGGCAGAAAGTGGAGACGAAAGCAGACGACAGAACATTGAGCAAGAGAGCAGAAAAGGAGGCGAAAGGAGACAATTTTTTAAAGAAAATTTTCCGTTGCTACCCGGATTTGAACCCGGGACCTTTGACTGAGAGGCAAACACATTAACCTCTAGGACACGAGAGGCCCCCCCCCACGAATCTAGTGACCCATGCTAAGGCCCACAACCGCTAAAACGGGACTCCCTTTATTCTATAATATACTGACGTGACCCCTGGGTGGGTTTATTAAGATTCTTCAAGGCAAGCAAAGAGAGGTCAACCATGCTGACCAATCACTGAGGGAAGAGGCATGCCACTTTCACTTATATTCCAATGAGTCTCAAGATTTACGCTTCCAGTTGCCCCTCCCCTTCACCTGTCCAAGATTTATTACTTTTCATCTGTGACCGAGTTCCCCTGCCTCTGTCGTTACACACCATTACGTGGCACGTTCAGGGACCACACCAATTAAAATTTTTGCCGGCTCTATTTCTCCGAACATTCAGGAAAATAAACTTGAACTCTACTTCTTCGAACGGTTTCCGTTCTCGAGATTTGTTAATAAGCAAATGGAGTAGCCCATGTGTGTGAGTGTGAGTGTGCATGTGTGTGTGTCTGTGTAAGGCGAGAACGGGGGAGGGATTATTTTTTTACATGAAGGATTTAAGTTTTTTCTGGGTGACTAAAACAAAGGTTACTGCCAAGGTCGATCAGTCTTGTTTTCTTGCAGTACCTTTTGAAGGCATTTTCAAATGAAATATAGTCCGGGAATGTTGCCCCAACCACAACTAACTGAAGTGTCTGAATATATTCAGACATTTAAAAATCTCTAGATCTAGAAATAGAATTCGATGCGAAAAATGCTTCTTCCCAGTCCTCGAAGAATGGCAGAATGAAAGTGAAAGATGACGCCTAAATCTCGCAAATAACCCAAAAATCTCGAGATTGGAAACCATTCGGAGAAATAGAGTTCAACTTTATTTTCCCCAATGTTCAGAGAAATAATAGTCCGTGCCGGCTATAAGCACGCCGGCTTAAAGCATGTTTCGGACTCAAGCACGCTAAACGGCTCTTACCGAATTTTTGCTATATATATATATAAACGAAGTGGCTTAAGTACGGCTAGACCGAGAGTCTAGCCGTACTTAAGTACGGCTAGACTGCCAATCTAGCCGTACTTAGATCTAGGTTTGGCCCAATCGACTCAAGCCTGTTAAGTACACAGGTCTCATTAGATCTAGATCTAGTAATTATTCAGGTTCAAATACATGCAAGTCAATAAGGCACCTTTTGGTTTTGTCTGAAATGCAAATACTTTAAGCATTGCAAACTAAAAATTTCATTTACAATTCAGCCATCAATATAAAGTACGGCTAGCCTGACAGTCTAGCCGTCCTTAAGTACGGCTAGCCTGGATGTCTACCCGTACTTAAGTACGGCTAGCCTGGATGTCTACCCGTACTTAAGTACGGCTAGACTGCCAGTCTAGCCGTACTTATCTTAGGCCCTATTAACATATTAGAAAAAAGGAGGTTTAAAATACATGCACTGTCATTAAGGCCCCTGGTTTCGTCTCAAATACAAATACTTTAGGTACTGCACACTAAAAATGTATATTTACAATTCAGTAGGCCTATTTTTTGTAAATAGGTCAGTCTAGCCATCATATTAAGAATAAGTACGGCTAGACTGCGAGTACGGCTAGCCTCTTCCATATATAAATTACACGCCTTTAAGCACGGTAACTTCGGCTTCAGGCACGCTTCATTACAAGACAGTAAATACTTTTATGATGACCCATCAAAGTTCAAACACAGTCTACACTGCAGCAGTGGAGTGCGTTAAGAGAAAAACAGAGAACGCAAGTTATAGAGACACACACTCACACGGGCGGAGAGGAAGGCAGAGAGATGCACACAGCCGCGCGCGTGGACATAGAGGATCTAGCCTAGGGCAAAGTTACACACAGACTAAAAAATACAAAGAGAGTCAGGGAGACGAAAAAGGGCGGCTGGCTGCGATTTCACCCTTGACCCTCGCTATCCATTAATCCTGATTGTGTATCACTCGCGAGGTGGGATGAAGGCGGTGGTATGAATGTGGCACAGCGGGCAGTGGTACGCACAGTGCGGCACAGGCAGCGTGTAGGCCTAGTGTGCTGTATCGTGACTGGCCGTCTAAATTTTAAGTTTTCGTTTCCCATTCGACCACAAAACAAAAACAAAAAAGCAAACAAAAACTACCATGGCGGGTAAAAATAACATGCACACTTTTGCGGGACCGCTATAGGCCTACTTACAAACAAAGGGAAATAGCACGAGAAATTTTCTACCTGAAAATCTCTGGATTATGTCTACTTCGCACTCAAGCACGCTTATTAATTATGCTTTCTCCCGATGACCGTGCTTAAAGTTTAAAGCCAGCATGGACTGATGTAGTCACTTCGTTAAAATTTAGTTTGTCAGGCAAATTTGGGAGGAGAGACAAGATGTAATGGCCAGGGAAGAGTTCACAGTTCGATGTGATCCCGCATACAAGAGCAAACCTGTAGGCTCTACCCACCCAGCAAGTGATCATGTAAGTTAAGTATTATAGGTGGAGAGCTCAGACTATGCGAGTACGATTTTGGGGGATAACACATATATAATAATGCGTCAGCCAGTCCACAACTTGTTGTGATCCAGTCGAGGGCAAACATTAAACAGAGTTTCATTGAGTTTTAAGATATTTTAAAAGGGAGTGTATACAGACCCGGTAACCGGGAATAAAGTCACAAAGTATACAGACCCGGTAGGGGAACTCTTTTGTGATTTCGGAAACTTTCAGCACCCTCTTGGCTCAGGGTAGAACTAGGTTCTAGATCTATGGCCTAGGTCTAGATCTAGACAGACAGATATAAATCATTGTATCTAGTTTCGAGGCTAGCCTAGATCTAGACTGTAGATCTAGATATATCTAGATTCTAGATCTAAAACTAAATGAAGATTGCGGATGTCTTTTCGATGAACGATCGTTTTTCCCCTGTTTTGGAGTTAGAGGAATCACAATTTGAAGAAAAGAACAATGTCATAATTTCAATCGAGCAGTCTCTCTCTCTCTCTCTTTAACTCACACACACACACTACCGGGTCTGGGCGCTGAAACCCTCCGAAATCACAAAAGAGTTCCCCTACCGGGTCTGTATACTTTGTGACTTTGTTCCCGGTTACCGGGTCTGTATACACTTCGATTTTAAAAAATGTGATCACATTCACGAGAATGGCTGATCTGTGACGCAAAGGGCTGTTCAAGGATCTTAACTTTTCACTCTTGGTCGTTCAGCTGGGCGCCTGCCCGTGTTTTTATTCCATAAATTAGGACCTGAAAAGCGGAATCTTAGCCGAATGTACACCTTCAGCAAGAATCAGAGTTGGATCTTGGGGTACTTTTGAGACTAGAATCTAGATCTAGATTCTAGTCTAGCCCTGCCGAGAATAAAGTTCATTGAAGGCGAAGGGCCTTGACTGAATGACTCAGAATGACATGATGGAGAGAAGGGATGGGCAGGTACGCTACCCAGTACCGGAACTCCCGGTTTTACCAAAGGCCGAAGGAGGAGTCAGTACAGGTCACACCTGGCACCTGGCCTCCAGTACTGCAGCTCTGGGAAGGAGCCGACACCAACGGTTAGTACCGGCTCTGGGAAGGAGCCGACACCTAGAGTAAGCTAGAGTAGAGGCTCAGAGAATAAGAACGTTTGTAAGCCGACACCAACGGTTTTTTAACAGGGCCACGGGAAGTGTGCTGTGTGTAGGCCTAGGCCTTGGCCTTCAGCTGTGACGTCAGATCACGCAGCTGGTGACCTTGATACATGACTTCAGATTCAAAATTGACAATAAAAAACGAAGTTTGCTTTAAAAATTTTAATATGGCATCAAATCAGGTTCGCGAGAAACCTGATTTGATGCCATACTTAAATTTTTAATATCTTTAAGTATTTTTATCCTTCTCGCGAGCCACTTTTTTTGTGTATTTTGATGTACTCTGTCTGTGTGACTGATGACCGATTCCGAAAATGAAATCGGCTTTAGAAAATTCTGCATGCAGTCTTATCCCACGCGGCGGCAAACTTCAAAGGTATTTTGCGACACGGTTCGCTCTCCAATTCTGATGCATGTGTGGGGAGGGGGGGGATCGGGCGGCGCAGATCGTGGTGTGAAACACGAGGCGCGAAGTCGGTGACGTCACCTACTGCCTACTGATGTCACTCCCAGTACCGGTACCGATGCCGGCAGTTCTCGGCACCTAGATCTAGATAAGATCTAGATCTAGATTCTAAATCTCTAGTACCGATGAAAGTGTCGACACTGTGACTGGGTTAAATTTTGCCGGTACCGTCAAACACTAAAAATGGAGTTAAAACAGAGGTTGGTAACAAGTCACAGACTGAGAAAGACACTTTGTTACTTTGTTGGGCCCCGTAATAACACTGGACAGCGATGTAAAAGATGGACATAACCAGTGTGGGCTTAATTAAAAGTAGACTAACAAAGCTGAGCGTGGGCAGATTTTCAAAAGAAACTTGGGTCTTACGCATCCAGCCGGATCTTTTTCATGGCAACGTGTTTGCCGGTCACTTTGTCTCGCGCCTTGTACACAACTCCATACGTTCCTTCGCCAATTTTTTCGATTTTCTGGAAATTTTCCATTGAAGTGTCATCCATTATGAAAGCTGATTATTTTCCAGGATGTGTTAAAATCACCAGAACGATAACTCAAAGATGAAGACGAGAAAAAATGATGGTTTTTGAGAACACTTTTCTTGTCAACAATCCCAGTCGTCCGTATGAACTGTGAACTCTGAACTCAACTGAAGCTTCCCGCGTTGACAGGGACGCACCGGGTGTGCCAGGTTTTCTTTCGCGCGTTTCGAGGGGAAAAGTAGATCTAAGTAAAAACCTGTCAGACTTTTGTTTCGTCATTACCCCAAATCTGTACAC